CACACTCTCCCAATAATATGACAAACAATATCAACATGCTATCTTCTAATTTTTTCCCTCACACTCTCCCAATAATATGACAAACAATATCAACATGCTATCTTCTAATTTTTTCCCTCACACTCTCCCAATAATATGACAAACAATATCAACATGCTATCTTCTAATTTTTTCCCTCACACTCTCCCAATAATATGACAAACAATATCAACATGCTATCTTCTAATTTTTTCCCTCACACTCTCCCAATAATATGACAAACAATATCAACATGCTATCTTCTAATTTTTTCCCTCACACTCTCCCAATAATATGACAAACAATATCAACATGCTATCTTCTAATTTTTTCCCTCACACTCTCCCAATAATATGACAAACAATATCAACATGCTATCTTCTAATTTTTTCCCTCACACTCTCCCAATAATATGACAAACAATATCAACATGCTATCTTCTAATTTTTTCCCTCACACTCTCCCAATAATATGACAAACAATATCAACATGCTATCTTCTAATTTTTTCCCTCACACTCTCCCAATAATATGACAAACAATATCAACATGCTATCTTCTAATTTTTTCCCTCACACTCTCCCAATAATATGACAAACAATATCAACATGCTATCTTCTAATTTTTTCCCTCACACTCTCCCAATAATATGACAAACAATATCAACATGCTATCTTCTAATTTTTTCCCTCACACTCTCCCAATAATATGACAAACAATATCAACATGCTATCTTCTAATTTTTTCCCTCACACTCTCCCAATAATATGACAAACAATATCAACATGCTATCTTCTAATTTTTTCCCTCACACTCTCCCAATAATATGACAAACAATATCAACATGCTATCTTCTAATTTTTTCCCTCACACTCTCCCAATAATATGACAAACAATATCAACATGCTATCTTCTAATTTTTTCCCTCACACTCTCCCAATAATATGACAAACAATATCAACATGCTATCTTCTAATTTTTTCCCTCACACTCTCCCAATAATATGACAAACAATATCAACATGCTATCTTCTAATTTTTTCCCTCACACTCTCCCAATAATATGACAAACAATATCAACATGCTATCTTCTAATTTTTTCCCTCACACTCTCCCAATAATATGACAAACAATATCAACATGCTATCTTCTAATTTTTTCCCTCACACTCTCCCAATAATATGACAAACAATATCAACATGCTATCTTCTAATTTTTTCCCTCACACTCTCCCAATAATATGACAAACAATATCAACATGCTATCTTCTAATTTTTTCCCTCACACTCTCCCAATAATATGACAAACAATATCAACATGCTATCTTCTAATTTTTTCCCTCACACTCTCCCAATAATATGACAAACAATATCAACATGCTATCTTCTAATTTTTTCCCTCACACTCTCCCAATAATATGACAAACAATATCAACATGCTATCTTCTAATTTTTTCCCTCACACTCTCCCAATAATATGACAAACAATATCAACATGCTATCTTCTAATTTTTTCCCTCACACTCTCCCAATAATATGACAAACAATATCAACATGCTATCTTCTAATTTTTTCCCTCACACTCTCCCAATAATATGACAAACAATATCAACATGCTATCTTCTAATTTTTTCCCTCACACTCTCCCAATAATATGACAAACAATATCAACATGCTATCTTCTAATTTTTTCCCTCACACTCTCCCAATAATATGACAAACAATATCAACATGCTATCTTCTAATTTTTTCCCTCACTCTCCCAATAATATGACAAACAACATGCTATCTTCTAATTTTTTCCCTCACACTCTCCCAATAATATGACAAACAATATCAACATGCTATCTTCTAATTTTTTCCCTCACACTCTCCCAATAATATGACAAACAATATCAACATGCTATCTTCTAATTTTTTCCCTCACACTCTCCCAATAATATGACAAACAATATCAACATGCTATCTTCTAATTTTTTCCCTCACACTCTCCCAATAATATGACAAACAATATCAACATGCTATCTTCTAATTTTTTCCCTCACACTCTCCCAATAATATGACAAACAATATCAACATGCTATCTTCTAATTTTTTCCCTCACACTCTCCCAATAATATGACAAACAATATCAACATGCTATCTTCTAATTTTTTCCCTCACACTCTCCCAATAATATGACAAACAATATCAACATGCTATCTTCTAATTTTTTCCCTCACACTCTCCCAATAATATGACAAACAATATCAACATGCTATCTTCTAATTTTTTCCCTCACACTCTCCCAATAATATGACAAACAATATCAACATGCTATCTTCTAATTTTTTCCCTCACACTCTCCCAATAATATGACAAACAATATCAACATGCTATCTTCTAATTTTTTCCCTCACACTCTCCCAATAATATGACAAACAATATCAACATGCTATCTTCTAATTTTTTCCCTCACACTCTCCCAATAATATGACAAACAATATCAACATGCTATCTTCTAATTTTTTCCCTCACACTCTCCCAATAATATGACAAACAATATCAACATGCTATCTTCTAATTTTTTCCCTCACACTCTCCCAATAATATGACAAACAATATCAACATGCTATCTTCTAATTTTTTCCCTCACACTCTCCCAATAATATGACAAACAATATCAACATGCTATCTTCTAATTTTTTCCCTCACACTCTCCCAATAATATGACAAACAATATCAACATGCTATCTTCTAATTTTTTCCCTCACACTCTCCCAATAATATGACAAACAATATCAACATGCTATCTTCTAATTTTTTCCCTCACACTCTCCCAATAATATGACAAACAATATCAACATGCTATCTTCTAATTTTTTCCCTCACACTCTCCCAATAATATGACAAACAATATCAACATGCTATCTTCTAATTTTTTCCCTCACACTCTCCTAGTAATATGACAAACAATATCAACCAATCATTTCTTTTCAAATTCTTCTCTCTCCTTTTAAAATTATTTGTCACATCATTGAGAGAAATTTGGAAGGGGAAAATTAGAGATTGCTCAATTTATAATTGTGTGTAAATAATTTTCCAACAAAAATCTGATAATTATGATTGTGGAAAAAAAGTAAAAATTACTAATAAGTCATATTTTGCTCTTAAAATTAATATTGAGTGTTATTAAGTTATAATTATTTGTCATAAAATATTCTCAAAAAGTTCATTACTCCATAAAGGTGTATCTTATCCTAATTTTACCCCTTTCATCTAATATTAATAATAATTTTGTATATAATTTTAACTTAATTAAAATAAAAAATTAATTAAATAAAATATTAATACTATATCAAAAAAATATAAGTAACAATTGGTTTGAAATAACTTTAGTACAAAATGAGTCACTTTTTTGTTATCTTCAATTTTAAATTTTATTTAGTATAAACAATCTGAAAAAAGCTAAATTATGTTAAACTTTCAAAGAGTTATGAAAATAATACTATAACAAATTTATATATTTCTCAATGCATGAGATAGTTGATGAATCATATAATTATGATTTTGTTTATGAAAAAATGACTTGTTTGTCAATATTGAAATTTGATGTAATTCAATAGTAGTTTTAGAACAAAATAAAACTTACCGGTAATTTTTTTCATTGTGGTTTATTAATATTTTAATATAATATCATAATTTTTACAATTAAAAAATATAATTTTGTTTCGATTAAAAATATTTATGAAATCATTGTTCTTGTTAAATAAGGGGTAAAATTACGATAACATACACCATTATGAAATAATAAACTCGTTGAGAATATTTTATTAAAAATAAGATAGTTATTCATATTAAAATTTAATAAGAGTCAATAGTAATTTTAAGAACAAAATAAGACTTATTAATAATTTTTTCAAAAAATTATTATCAAGTACAATAATTCTGGTTAAACAGTAATTTTCAAGGCTTTTCTTTTTCAAATATTGAGTAAAAAAATTTAAACAATCATCGAAAAACCGGCCCACATATTGTCACAAGAACAGCCCCATGTATGAGGAGGTATTCGTAACCAAAACCAAATAGACACGCTTCAAACTTCAAGCATTATGCTACGTACTTACAGGGGTGAGTATGCTTCGAATCAGATTAGTTTGGAATGAAATTAAGATTAATTCTTGAATTATGGTTTTATAAAAATTATAATCAATCTGAACCATTTAAATTATGAAATTAATTCGAATCAAACCATTTAAAAACGGATTGGTTCAATTTGGAACTACTGTTTTACACAATAAAAACCATATAATATTGTTCTAAAAATATTCAATATGTAGCAAATAAATATAACTTTATCATTTAATAAATAAACATAAGTTTAACATCTAACAAATAAAATTCTCATTTAACAAATATTTTGTTGTGAAAATAACAGTTACAAAACTAAACTTATACTAAATAATTTATAAAAACAAAAATAACAATACAACACAGTAACAACAGCAAACCAAATCAACTTGTAATATTAATAAATTGATTATTGATAGTTAGTGGTAATGCTATTGAGAGCACCGCCTATTTCTTTTCTTTGAAGGGTTCCTTATTTGGGTTATATATATAAATGGTTGGAATGATACATATTCATATAATAGTAAGGTAGAATGCTGAACGGTTCAAATTGGATTCAATTCGGAACCGCGTATCATAATTTGAAATCAATCCGTAAATAACAAAGGGTTGTTTTGGGAAGTTGATAAAAAGTTGGCTTTTGACTTTTTACCAAGCTTTTTGACTTTTTTGAAAGTGATTTGAGAAGTTAGTAAAAAGCTGGCTTTTTGCTTTTTAGTTTAATATTTATTTATGGTGTCAAATCAAATTAAAATGACCAATATACCCTTACCCAACATAAGAGAGTTATTTTTTTATTTATTTTTCATAGGCCCTAATTTGTAATTTTAGAGCTGCGTTTTTAGCACTTGCCAAATGGCTTTTTTGACGTTTTTGGCAGCAAAAAACGTGGCTTTTTACCATGTTCTCAAAATGGCACAAATTGTTAATTTTTCAAGCTAATTCCAAACCACAAATTAAAAAAATCAAACTAAACCTATCAGATTGTACTTGACCAGCTCAATTTGTGAATTTTTCAATTACTTACATAGAAAATGCTATATGAGTATGTAATTGAATCAATAGGAAATATGTGGAACCGCCCAAGTCCAAATGTTCAAAAGCATCTGTATCAGAAGCAGGTGGCATCTGACCGAAAAGCGGGCTGTGTACGTACTGGTTCGAATCGAAACCCAGGTATGACCCGATTTCCTCTGGGTATGTGATTGTAGTCTGCTCCGGGAAACCAAGAAGGGTGGTCGGTGGTGGTGGGTCACTCCAGACCCCATAACCCGAATCCGCCATGTGCGAAACCGAAATTTGAGGAGGCAAAGGAGGAAGCTCCTTCGAAGGCCCATCATGGAATTGGTGGGACAGGCCGCCACCACCACTGCCACTACCACTACCATAGCCAAGGATCGGTTGCTGGTTTTGATGTTGTTGCTGCTGATGATGATGATAAACAACACCCGATCGGGAAGAAGCCCATGCGTCCCCACCACCAGCAGACATTCCACCGGAGAAATGGCATTGGATTTCGGGAGTAGAATTCTGGGGAAAGAAGAGGAGCTGGATTGAAGAAGGGTCTTGTTGTTGGGGACGAGGAGGAGGAGGTGGTGGTGGGACATGGAAAGAAGAGAAGTCTGCTACTGCTAAAGGGTAAAGAGGAGGGTTGAGGATAGGGATGATGGGTTCGTCTGGGGAGATGATGGAGGTTACAGAAGAGCCAGGGGGCATGTTAGAGTAGACAAAGTTGGTTCGAGAGCGAGAGCCCCGCTTGGATCGGGCGGCTCTGTCGTAGGCAAGGGCGGCCTCCTCTGCAGTGTCGAATGTCCCCAGCCAATGCCTTTCTTTGGTGGTGGGGTCTCTTATCTCTGCTGCATATCTTCCCCAAGGCCTCCGTCTCACACCTAGGAACCTGTTCCCTCCTCCTTCTCCTCCTCCTGTTATTGTTTCTTGTTGCTGTGTCTGTGTTTGCTTTTTTTTGCTCTTTGACGACATACCAGGGTTCAGGGTTTTTATTATCGGTTATGCTACGTAGCTCAAATTTTGTGGCTCAAAAGTAGTTTAAATGGCCAAAACGACGTCGTTTTGAGTACAGAACAACATAAAAATGGCCAAAACGATGTTGTTTTGGCCATTTGAGCCACTTTTAAGCCACAAAATTTGAGCTACGAGACATTATCCTTTTATTATAATTTGATAAAGATGGTTTGATTTAATCACAACGAGAGAGACAGAGTTTGAAGGGACTATTAGAGCAGATATCAAAAGACTGACTATTCAGCTTTTCAATTCTATCCATGTACCTATGGGTATATATATATATATATATATAAGAAAAGAAAAATGATTCAGACTTCTAAAAAAAGATTACTAATGGAGCTCTAATTTGTCTTTTTCTTTCCCTTCTTTTGTCTTTTACTTCACTATTTTTTTTTTATTTGCTTGATAGCTCACTAGAACTGTACGGCTACACCTCTAATTAAAGGTCTGCAGCTGCGTTGTATAAGAAAAACGGACTGTTGTTTTCTTTTCCACCATAGTGTTTGGTTTTGTCGAAGTAGTAAAAACGAGTGATGTTCTTTATTTGGATGTGCAAAGTTAGTTTAAAGGTGTTATTACGTCTCACTTAAAAAAAATACATATATAAATTCATGAAAATGTTAACAAGTTTGATTATTAATATTTATAAAATTTTTCAATAATCTGTAATTGCTTTTTCAACACTAATTGATGTGATATTTCCCCGCCGATTTGATTTAATCACAACGAGAGAGACAGAGTTTGAAGGGACTATTAGAGCAGATATCAAAAGACTGACTATTCAGCTTTTCAATTCTATCCATGTACCTATGGGTATATATATATATATAAGAAATGAAAAATGATTCAGACTTCTAAAAAAAGATTACTAATGGAGCTCTAATTTGTCTTTTTTTTCCCCTTCTTTTGTCTTTTACTTCATTATTTTTTTTTTTATTTGCTTGACAGCTCACTAGAGCTGTACGACTACACCTCTAATTAAAGGTCTGCAGCTGCGTTGTATAAGAAAAACGGACTGTTGTTTTCTTTTCCACCATGGTGTTTGGTTTTGTCGAAGTAGTAAAAACGAGTGATGTTCTTTATTTGGATGTGCAAAGTTAGCTTAAAGGTGTTATTACGTCTCAGTTCAAAAAAATACACATATAAATTCATGAAAATGTTAACAAATTTGATTATTAATATTTATAAATTTTTTCAATAATCTGTAATTACTTTTTCAACACTAATTGATGTGATATTTTCCTGCCGAAAATCGACTATTTTACCATATTAAAGAGTCGTCACCTAAATATTTTGAAAAATTTAGAAAACCCGTGACTCATGCCAAAGGCCATTAGGCTGTCATTACTAAAATGTCTCAGCTCGGGAGCTTAGATATGAGAGGAGAATGTCATGAATTGAGTACCCCACTCGCCCGATCAAAGATTGACCTCTACTAATCATGATGTGATTCTCATTTACATTATATACTCTCGTTCCGATTATTTATGTTATCTTTACTGGGTGATGCACACAAGTATAGACCAATTCACAAAATATGGAATGCATTGATTTTATGTTTGTTTTGAAACAGTGTTTTACGTGTCACTTGAAAAAGCGAGCTCGTATTTATATTAACCAAATTATTCTAACTTAAGTAAAACAGCCTTCATCCACTAACATTCAAACAGGTATATCACTTAAGCACTTAGTCTTATGGAAAACATACTCGGTATGACAACACAAACATACATGCAATATGCTAAAACAAAAAATGTTCACCTTGTACTACAAGGCAAGCCAAATAAAGCTAAAATAGTTAGAGGAAATGCATGTTCCTAAACAATGCAACGTGACTAATGCAAAGGATGCAATCATGCAATTAATAAACTCGGCTACTAACATGACATGTAAATCAATTCAAGGCATGTGATAAAGCATGTATTCGAGTAAAGAATTTGAAATTGACATTGATTAGTATGATGACCTAAACCTTAATGCATGCAAGCAAAACGAATGGATGCAAATCATGGAAAATGCTAAGAAAACATAATGCTCTATGCTACCCATCATAAGTGAGTAAATAAAAGGGAGAAAGAAATGAGGGTTGGAAGACATACACAATTATTACATATTTTGCCCTCATGCATGAGGGTCTGAATGTCCAAGTGTCTGAATTAAACTAACTATTACAAACCCAAATGAATAATGAATGAGGGACTAACTAACTATCTAATTTATTACAACAAAGAAATTACAACAAGAATATGAATAACAATATTACAACAACAAGATAAACAACAATAAGAATGCACAAGGATCGTATGCGCATTGATGAAATCGATTTTCAGAAATTGCTCTGTCTGCCCTTTGGGAATCTGCTCTGTTTCACTCTCAGCCACTGCCCTCTATTTCTGCCAAAAGTACTCTTGGTTATTAAACATTGTAGCTCGGCCGGCCCCCAATGAGGCCCAGCCGGGTCCAAACAAGTTCGGCTGTGAACTATTTTCTTGCAGAAAAATGTTTTTGTGCTCTAAGGTGAAAACAGTGCAGGCAAAGCCTTTCTAAGCCATGTTTGTCCTTTCTGCTTTTCTCTATCATGGAGAAATTCAAGAGAAGAGCAAGTTCGGTTCTAAAACCATCAATGGTCACAAGTTGATTGCTTGATAATTTCGAACACGATTGGACATAAATTAATGAATGCAATGAAAGACACACCACCCCTCCCTCCTATTATGACGTTAGTTCAAGGAGGGAGGTAGACATGCCTCAAGAATCATCAAGCATCACAAATTAGTATGTGATGACTTTAGAAGCGTTGGATTCGGTATAACGTTCGACCGAATCCAACCAATTTTATCAATCTTCTTTAAGTCAGTTGATCCAATTTTAAACTGATTTTATTAGCCATTTTCAACTTACCATTCCATTGTTTAATTCTTTTGTCCAAAAGTGAGTGTTATGTCCACGAATTGTAAAAGCAATAAATATGAAAAAGTATCGACTTAGCCCAAGAAATGAGACTTTCAAGTCCTTTTCTTCGGGGGAAATTACAAAGGAGGAATCAAACTCGTTTACATGCGATAATGGATTCCAAATCAAAACCAAAATGAGCAATAATGACTAGTCAAACTCAAAAGAGCGATAATGACATAGCCAAACCCATAATGAGCTATAAGGAATCTAAACCCAAACTTGAGAACAAGCTATAATGAGACATTCCTTTGTGATTTCCAAGGGCCTAATTAACAAGCTTGCCCCTTAGAAGCAAATACACCGGTGATAAAAAGGAATGACAAACAAAAGGTTGTGTTTAGCATAAGAGAGATATGATGCCTTTGGTAATGAACCTCCGAAGAGATTAAACCATTAAGCATGGATTTATTTTTATGCTTGAACGACAATTTTTATTAAACACAACTCTTTGATAAAAAAAACAAAGAATGGAGGGAGGTTGCATAGATGGTTATGCAAAGTTGATTAATACAAAAGTGAGGCTCTTTACAAGAAAACTAAGTAAATAAAGCTATCAACTCAAATGACTCGATGTCTAAGGATTAAACAACCGAAGCCATGAGGACTTACAACACAACAAGTATAACATTCAAAGCATAAACTATTTAAATGAATTAAACAGCTCCTAAACAGCCCCAAAAATGTAAAAAATAGTAGCTAAAATCATGTTTAAAAGAGCACAAAAGATAGCCAAAAACAAGGAGATACAAAGCTAGTAAGCAAGACTAAGGAGGGGCGGCTAACCCCTCGACTTTTGGGACTTCTAAACCATATTTTCCAGCCCTTTTAAACTCTAAAAATCAGTATGTAAACCTAAGAAAAAAGTGGTAAAACAAAGGGGATGAGCTATGGGATAAGGTGCCAGAAAGGGTGTTAAGCCTCTCTACTTTTGGTAGCTCTTTATACCCAAGTTTCAGCACTTGGAAATGATCCAAAATAGTATGAAAACACAAGAAAAAGATAGAAAAAGATTGAAATGAAAGCAAGGAAAGAGGTGGCAAGCTTATATCTCTTGAAGAGTGAAAGCTTTTGTTGTAAACCAAACTCAATCCTAAGGCACTCTCAAGTTTGAATTATGGTTTCAAAGTCTCAACCAAGGCTCCAAGCTTAAGCTCTAATGGTGTATATGGTGTGTGCATATAGTTCAAGGATGATATAAGAACATAAAGTTAGCTTGCAAGGAAAGAAAGGGCTCTCAAAGGTGTTTTTGGTTCTTTGAAATTTTTCTAACCCGCAACACAGAGGCATAAACTCTTATTTATAGAATTTAAGCCAAATAGATCATAAATATCTTCAAAAGTAGACAGCTGGCAGATTCCCGCCCAAAATAGCGTTTCTCGCCCAAATGGCACGGCCGGGCTCTAATGGCCCCAGCCAGCCCCAAATGAGGCACAGTCAGGCCCCAACGTGGCTCCCATGTTCCTCCATTTCAAGTTCAATGTAGGTTGGCACAGTGCTCAAAGGTGGATTTCTGAGGTAAAACAATGTGGGTATAGAAGGTTGGGATTGTTTAGAGTTCAAATTTGGATTCCTTCGTTGAGAATTTAAACCATTTACACAATGCAACTTTCATCATCGAGTGCTCAGAATAAAGCACCCAAGTCTTGCGGACGGTCAAAAATGGGGTGTCTACAGTTGCCTCTGTTTGACAGAGCTTAGAGTCAAGAAATGATGTGAGTGAATGTCAAAGCCCAAAGATGCTCCATTTGACAAGGCCATAAGACTTGGGCAAGGAAACAAATGAAAATACAATTAGGTGAACCCGAGGGTCGCCTACGTATCCCTTTGCAAGGAATCAAACCTGTTTATTTCAGGGGCAGAATGCAAGTGATATGCAGAAAGAATGCTGTAACAACCCACATTTATGGCTTAGTCATGTTTGCTTGCATTATATGTTTTGCCATGTTAAGTTGCTGTCACAGCCCATATTTATGTCTTAGTCATGTTCATGAGCATTTGTATGATTATGACTCGTT